GATAAGACCACCTGGGGTATTTGTCTTTAGCAGTGTTTCCACTTATCTTTAGTTATTACTCAAATTTCTGCATTACATCACCGGGGCGTACATGTGGATGGGGATGGCTATAGACAATCTTATCACTTATGTTAACGTCACAAAGTCTGTTAAATCACACCTGCATGGGTAGAGGCAATGGCTCCTTTTGTTTGGGGCGGAAAGAAATGGGGGACTGGGACCATGAGGCCTCTGTCTCATCTCACACTCCCCCAGGCATCCAAATAACACCAGATAACAATTTCTAGTGATGGTTGCCACCTCACCCAGTGCTGAGTTTCATGCTTTCAGGCATACAGCTACATGGTGTACATGACTTGGACTTTGTGATTAACTTTTGCTCTCTCTCAACATGTACGCAAAGCACTCAAATAAACAAAAGATATTTGGTACCAAAGGTATAGATTTTGACTTATGTGTAAGTAGATGCATATAAGTAAAAGACATGCACATAAGGAGAGTGATGAATAAAGAAGCTCGTTTACATGTAAAATTTCCCTCAATTTTTTAAGCAAATACTCACAATACATTGGCATTGCTCAACGGATGATAACTGAGTATTGAGGAGGGCTGGCTTCACCCTGGCCTTTCATTAGCTCTATTGACAGACTACCTCAAGGATTTGGTGCCTGAGAGATGTCCCAGCTCAGGAGAGATACTAGCCACAGCCCACTGCAATCCAGAAGAGCTCAAAGGATCTCTCTCTTGGGTCCCATATTTATAGGATTCTGAGATAATTGACTGTTGTCAGAACTATTGTGGCTACAATTCTTGTCAGGTGATCTTGGCTGCTTTCCGAGTGGGCTTGTGTATGGGCCTGGCCTGGCTTGGCGTGGGTTAAATGCCTCAAAGCAGGTGATTCTCAGGGAGCGACCCCCTCAGTGGTAGGAATGGCCATGCTGGAGAGCATGTCCAGGTCTACCCAGGAGAGGGGCGTGTCATGTCCTGCTGTGTGCCCTATCACCTGGTACAGGCAAGGGGCGTGAGGGAAGAGTTTAAATAACTCCCCTTAAGCCTTAGACAGTGTGTTCACCCACCATCTTTCAACCTGGACAAGACAAAGAAACTGCTTGTCCAGCTGCCATCTTAACACCAGAGGCCTTGGAAGTGGTGACTATCTTTCACCTTTTCTACTTCTCTGATAACTATTTCCTTCTTTTCTCTCCTTTTTCTAATTTTCTTGTTCTCTTTTCCTTTTTTCTAACACATGCGGCTGCAGCAGGCTGCAGCTGGCAGTTTTTGTTTTGGGTTCTGATTTTTATTAAGACAGTATTAAGCTAAATTTTCTCGGTTCTGCTAGTCAAATTGTTATAGTGTTGCTAAGTTGCACCGTGTTCCAGTAATTTTGGGGTCATTTTGGTTTCTTGTCGGTATCTTGTCACCCACGGGTTGTTGAAAGGTTTGAATCCAGTGTTTTTTCAAGGCATGTATCTTATCTAATAAAAATATTGCTTACACCCTTCTCCTGAGTGATTGGTATCGTTCTGTCGCCATGCTGGGATAAAAGAGCTCACTTTTTAAAGCGGGTCATGACAGCTTGTAATTAGGGCAGGAGGAATCTCAGGTATGTTTCCCAAGCAACAGGAGTTCCTGGTGTGATTAGGGAGTGCCTGACTGTCCCAACTCACTGTACTTATACTGAGGCTTGAAGGTACCAGATTGTCTCAACACATTGCTTCAGTAAGCAAGATCAGAAAGTGCCATATTTTCTCAGCTTATAATGGCTGGTGTTGACATAGAATTGTGGCAGCTGGGCTGACATTGGTATCACAGTATGGCCCAAGGAGGAAGGAGTGGGAGAGTTGCACCACCACAGCAAATCTTCAATATCCTTTTAAACATTTCTTTTAATGTTCTGCTTTATTTTAAAATAGTTATGCATGGAGATTAACCCTAGGTGCTTGAATAAATCACTAATGCTGGTAGAGATTTTATATTTGCCCCATAGCACTTCTGAAGGGAAAGTCTTATTATTTTCTCTGAAAGGATATTATTTCCTGCAAAATGGTGACTTGGAGCAAAGAACCAATCACATTATTATAAAGAGTTCATATAAACCAATGTATGTGTACACAAAATTATTACCTGCTTTGAATTTGGCATCTAGTTTATTGATCTTCAGTAAATACACTGAATAAAACACAGCTTTGAAGCTTTCATTTCTAAATATTTACCAATAAAGAGTCGAGTTTTGTGAATAAAAATGTCTTTTCCATATATAAAGTCAATTGTAAGAAGCAATTCAACACTTCAACAGTTAAAAAAATCCTTTAGGTATTTGTTCCTTTCCCCTTGACATTGTGAAGTTTTATTATTTTAATAAAGTCAATAGCTTTCAAAAGAAGAAATGACAGCCATTGTCTGTAATCTGTTAAACAGGGGTGGAAAATAAGTACTTCTTTTAAAATCTAATTTTTATTATTATTTAGCCAATTCAATGTAAATAATTAATGTCACAATGCATTTTCATGGTACCATAAGCACAACTCTCAAATTTGCTTTCAGTATTCCCAAGTTGTTACATCCGATGCATTTAAATTAAATACAACAGAGTACTTTGCATATTATTATAATGAGGAGAAGTAAGCATTATAAAATGATGAATGGTTAGTTCATTTCAGTTATTTGTTTCCATTTGGAATCTGTCAAATTGCTAACAGAAGTAGAACTGTAGGAATGTTCCAAAATAAGCTGCTTCCTTTGTAACACAACTTTTTGGCACTTTGATGCACCCTAACTACTTCTGCTCTTGTCTTCCCAAAATTGAGTATTTCTCCCTCAGTGGGTAAGTGCTGAGCCTCCTGCCACTAGAAGGTGTAGTAGTGGGACAGAGAAGGAAGGAAGAGGTGATAAGGAAGGGGTTCTGGAGACCCATGCTTACTGCTCTTAATGGTGTAAGAGAAACTGGAGAAGGGGAAGGATAAAAGCAAGTTCCACTCTTCTGAGATCATGTCTTTGTATCAGAAGTCTTTCCACACAAGATGACCACAGCAGAAGTGGTGGCTTTCCAGGGCTCTGGTGTACTCAAAATAGGCAGCAGAGCAGCATCTGGTTCAATGCTCTATCTACTCTCCTAATAACCAATTTAATCCTTTACCTGCAACTGCAACTGGAACCAACTCTGACCCTCTGTTACATAAGCAGAATTTTACATTTGCAAAATATTTACTTGCATGCTGTATTGAATGTTAAACCGTCACTCTGTTCTACTACATCATAAAAATGCCGATGCATTCTCCACTTCCAGTCATGCTTACTGCGAAATGTTTCAGTGTCTCCAGAGCCTTGCCCTATGTCCCTTCCTGTCCTAACAAGCCTCTCAGTTCATTACCAACCTTGTGGTAATGCGTCTGAATGCTTGATGTAGAAAGTAATTGGGTTAAGATTTAACTTCTCAACTTCTTTTTCAGATCTCCTTTCTGATATCAAAACAACAATCTCTGTATTGTGTGTATACATTTAATTGTTTAAAACCAAAATTCAGAATTGTCAGTCTATCCACCCATCCACGTATATGGAAGTCTGTACATCCAGATGGACCTTATTCTAGTTCCCTCTAAATATTTCAAACATGAATTAACTTCAAATAATTTAGTGTTTTCTGTGGAGTAAGAATTGACTGTTATTTGAAAACAAACAAAACCACAGGTCTGTTTACTGAAAAGTTCAAGACTAAGTAGCTCTTATATGCAAGTTGGTTTAAAGAATAAAAGATGTACAATGCCTAGGACACAACCAAGTGGGCCTATCCATTATGCCAGATCTGAAGCAATGTCCAGTGTACTGAAGCACCTCAAAATCTATGCTCACTGTCACGCTTCACCACTTTTATTCTTATTGTTGTACCTCTGCCCTCTCTCTACTGTCTCTCTTCTTTCCTCATCTGCTGCTGAATCTTGTACTGCTACATTGTGAGGTTTTTCCCACTGATGCTTTAGCTACTAATCATAAAATCAGTTTTGACATTCTGTTTCTATTCCTGTTACAGACTGTTTATTTGTTGTTTGCTTTGAGAAACTGTGTTTGGAAAGAAATATTCCTGC